GTAAATGTTAATTAAGGAGGGCAATCCATCCAAATCTCATCCAAGCAAGCAATGACTCATACACAAATTTATTTCAAGATTTAAAATGGTAATTTATTTGAACAATAATAAGCCACTTGTGTTAATCATCTTAATTGGGATGAAGAGATGGATGAATATCAAATCCATCATATAGATTGCAAGTTATCTTTGTGAATCATATTTGAAGACAACAAACTTGCAATTAACCTATTTGTAAGTGATAAGAAGATCATGAGAATGATAGTTTGATTGTAAAGCCATGAATACAAGGACTTGGGACCCTTAGGTCTATGATTGCACAACAAGTTCAAAAATATAAAATCTTGAATGACGATATTCTAGATTTTTAATCTAATGCCAGCAAGCAAGTAGAATATCCATGACATACAAAAGACAACAAATACATATGATATCCGTGCATAGGTAATAACTTGTTCTTGAAGAATAAATGTATAATGAGCATCTACAGATAAATATGGAAGAACTGTGATAAATACAAAAGCCTTTATACACAACAAAAGATCTGCAATATATACAAGCACTCTACAAAGACAGATGTATGCGCATCATGCCACTTATGGGTAGATGCAGAAAGACTTCAATAAATGCAGTATCCTGAAGTCAATTTCAGTCTGTGAAGGAATACATCTACCTATCTAGATGCAGCAGTAGCAGATATACTGAAAAGACCAAAAATCTACATGCACTATAATCTACCTGCGCAAATGTATGAAGAATATGACAAGTGCGAGCTCATATGATCCAAGGCAAGAGATTAGTTAGTGCACTATAATCTACCTGCGTAAATCATGCAAGTAGTGCATGATAATCTACCTGTACAAAGCAGCAAATAACTAATCCAGAAGCTGCTACTTCACACCACCGGATCTGTAACATTCGTACGAGTAGACAGAAGGCGTCCACAACTACAACGCCACGCCATCGGATCCGCAACTTCTATACAAGTGGACATAAGGCATCTACAAATACTTTCAAAATACCCATGCACGTGCACCATAGCTTGTATACATATATGTACACAAAAAGATATGTTAAATCAATGAAATTCACAAACACCCACATGAGCTCCGATGAACGTGTTATTGGAACACACGTGATGTCTAGGAATGCTGCGCGGGTTATTAAAGTTGAACCTGATCCTCCTAAGTCAGGTAGGTAAGAGTTGATAAGGTTCAACAAATGATTACAAAATACCCCCAAACACCCGTATGGGCCCGGACGAGCATGTTATTGGTATACACGTGACATCTTGGGATGTTACGCGGGTCGATAAGTGAATTCAAGTTCAAACCCGATCCTTCTATACGAATTTGTAGGAGTCAATAGGGTTCGAACCTTTAAAAAAAATATACGATTATGGTGATCGATGTATTTGTATTAATACATTCATATTAGACCTTCAAGGTCTATAACAATATGAATTCACTAATAAAGACACAAAGCCTATAAAACCTGATCCCCTATCGGCAAGTCGATAGGGTCGACAAGGTTCAAGATATAAATATTTTCAAATAACCCCAAACACCCCAATGATGATCGTGTTGAATGAAAATCTCAACCGGAGGGGTCCATTCCAAATATTTTCATAATGCCACCCAAATGCCCATCAAAATTCAAAAATCCAAAACTTCCCAGAGCAAAAAATCCAACGAATTCTAAAATCCCAAATATTTAAAATTTGAAATAAATCCATCAATGCTTAAAGCAAAATCCATCCACCCTCTGCAACAGTTTGCCGAGATGGACAAATTCAAATATAACTTTAGCTCACTTAGAGCCAAATGCCTAGTCGAAAATATCACTAGGATCCATTCTAAAATAATCTCATGCTAGTAAGGACATGGTATGTGTACTCTAACCTGCGTTTGCCATCAAATGACACCGCAGGATAAACGGTTATGACCCGGGGCCCTCTGAATCGAGTTGTTTTGCCGTCAAATGGCACCACGAAATATCGGTTATGACCAGCACCGATACGTTCCTTATTGACATCAAATCCTTGAGATATGAATCAATATGATATATTGATAGGGCACAAAGCCCTCTATTAGCTAAGGTGAATTTAAATTTGTCCCCTTAGGCAAATATCCACCACAGGTCTACAAGGTCCCCTTGGACGAAGCAACCCATGGCTGCCGATAAGGATCCTTCTGTCAGGTTGGGTCGACTACCTCCTCTGACTAAGTAGACCAGGGACCATGATGGCCCGGGATGACAAAACCATGGGATCTTGATCGGGTCCATCATCCATTCCCCAACCATCTACTTTAAGTATAAGATGATGCAATTTTGAGTTTTAAATATCATATCTCCAAATTTTCCAAACTTCCCAAATACCCAAATTCAAATATAATTTCCAAATCCAAATCCATTGCTGCTACTATATGCCAGATAACACATATCTCTACGTATTTGATTGACGAATAGCCTTAATCGAAAGTTCTCTCTCGTGATCGAGAGGGGTAATTAACTATAGGGGCTTGCTCCTATAGAAAACCAGAACTCAGATTATAAAGTCCTCATAAAATGAGGGCGAAATCTATGGGTAGTGTCTTATCTAGAAACCCATCTGCCTTCCAAAATTTACCTCGGAACTAATCAGTTAAAACTCCCTCGCCGAATAAAAAAGAAAAAAACTAGCGGAGAGGCCGGGGCCGAATTTTCGGAGCCCACAATGACCAAAATGTTTTAACTTCCAATTCAATTGAAAGGGAACATCGTCCAAGGAGTGAAGTCAAACATATACGAAGATGCGCACGAAAGGGAGAAAGTTACCTTCATAGAGTGCGAGTAAACTCATGTCATTTCTTCTGATCAAAATGTTGTAACTTTCGATTCGATTGGAAGGGAAAGTCGTCTAAGGAGTTAAGTCGAACAGGTACGAAGAAGCACACGAAAGGGAGAAGTTACCTTCACAGCAAGCAAACTCCCATCGTTCTTTCCAATCAAAATGTTGTAACTTTGATTCTGACAGGAAGGGAACGTCGTCCAAGGAGAAAACTATGCGGTTCTGGGTTCGGGTTCGAAAAAACCGACCTATTTGAAAAATGGGTTGGATTTGAGTTGACCCGAATAGTGCTGGGTCAGCTTCAGGTTAGACCTAAACTCGACCCGTGACCCAATTTTGACATCCCTAAATCAAAATAAAGAGCAATAAAGTAAATCACAACTAAAAGTAAAGTGTGGTAAGTAAGAAAATGCAAATCAATATTTTTAGTGGTTCAACCAACTTGACCTACATCTACTGTCCAAAAGTCTTTCTCTTTGGAAATTACACTATATAATGATTCTCCTTCAATGCACAAATAAGCAGAGTAGGTTATGGGAAGAAATCTACAGTAGTTAAAATCTCCCATAATAATTCAGAGCATAGGAGGAGATGGAGCAGTATCACAAATTTGTTGGCCAGAGAGAGGAGCCTTCGTCAACAGAATTAGAGGGATAAATGACAGAAAGAAGAAAAGCAAAAGAAGACACGAGATGAATCAAACCACTGATCATTTAATAAGAGGTAAAGGTAGGGGATAAGTGAATTTTTTTGGGTGACCATCTGACTTAAATTCTAACAGAGGTAGAAAGATCAAAATTATTGAAGCTCACTTCACCATCAAAAATTCAATGTGAAGTAGAAACCCAGGGATCAGATAAAGAATATGCTTGAATCCTATTCTCCTAAAGGCAAAACATATCCAAATTGTTGATTTTGACCAATTGCTTGCAAGTGAGAACTTTCCTGGGATTATTAAATCCCCTAATATTCCATGCAAGTGGCAATAGAAGGAAAAATCATTTAGATTTAGCAGAAGACGAGGGGCCTTTTCTCAAGTGCTTGGTTCTTGGATTCTTTTGATGAGAGGTAATGTTTGAAGTATGCTTTTTTAAGTTGCACTTTGATAATAAGCTCTTATCCACACAAGCTTCTTCCTTATAATTTGCTTCAGAAAGAGAATCTGTTAGGATGTCAAATTTATTTGGAGAAACAATAGAGGTGGGAGCTGTGACGAAAACAATTGTGGTAATCGAAGTCTGAATAGTTTCCTCAATGGAGGAGTTTGAGTAGGAGTCAAATTTATTAAGACTGGTGACCCTATGGTGGATGATGGGTGGTTCAAAATGACTTTATTAGCTTGAGGGTTAGGAGTTTGAGAGAGCGGCTATTGCTGGCTGTGAGGAATTTGATCTGTGGAGGAGGATGTGTGTTTCAAAATGAACTTATTGGCTTGAGGGTTATGAGGTTAAGATATCAGCTGCTATTGGCTATGCGAAATCTGTCTTTTACTTTAAGGTTAGGAGTTTGAGTAGGTTCTAGTTACAGGTTGTGGAGAATCTAGCTTTGAGAAGTTGGAGCCTTAGTCCTACTAATGACAAATTTTGTAGCTACTCTAGCTGGAGGTCCTCAGGAGTCTGGGATGGTCTTCTGCACCTATTCATAAAAACAGTTAGAATGTTCTCATTTTGCTCAGTTGGAGGCTGAGACGTGCAAGACCCCTGGGAATGAACTAAAGAACCACAAAAATCACAAGGGGTTGGCCGCCACACATTGAATTTTTAGATTTATGATTTCATCCTCAATAGCGATGGGAATGTGCTCTAGGTAAACAGTTCTGTTATTAACCTGCACATAGACATGAGCGTAAGTGAGATGACTTTTTTGGGCAATAAGAGCATCCACGACCAGAGTTATACCATTTTTGCTAGCTATTTGAGATATTCCCTCCGAATTCCAACTATTCTTACCTTACTGTAAGTAAAATCTCAGTACAAAGAATGTCTGACAACTGATAGTGAATGGAAGGAGTTGGAAACAGTGCTCTTGAATGTATCGGGTGGAATATAGCTCGACAAAAATGTATTTATATTAAGAATAATTTGATCCGAAATAAATTTTTAAACAAAATTTTCTTAAATAAATAATATACCAGATTATTTGATCATATATCATTATTATGTGGCATGTACCCACTCTATTTAGCCGAAATTCTAAAACCCAAACCATTCAGATTCTTCCATGAAACTCTCGGCATCCCAAAAGCCCTAAACCATTTGGCAACAGGCACTCATCTTCTCAAAATTTTAATCCCATTCCTTCTCTTAGATGAACTTTCCATCCATTACAAGCAGCAGGTCAATAAAACAAGTGCTAAGTAACAGAAATCCAACAAATAAAAACAGAGCTCAGCTTTCCATTATCTAATGTCAGTAGCTAGATTTAAACGGTCGAAAGACCTTAAGATCAGAGACAACGCCTGCTATGGAACCAACAGCTGCTGCCAACGAGACGACGAGGCAGGCAAAGCTAAGCATCTGCAGACAAACCCACCTAGTGCTCCATTTAGCTACCTTCTTCTGAACTATATACATCTCCACCGGGAAATAAACAGTAAGAGGCCAGAACCCAACTGCGCCAAGAAGGCCAACGATGTCATTGAAGAAGGGAAGAAGCATTGAGATTACCGTAGTAACCACCACGAACGCCGTGCGCCAAACCAGTCGGAAGAGGTTGAGTTTATATGACCTGCAGATATTGATATCTCTGGAAATGAATTCTGAATGCGGCCATTTTCTTGTCGCCCATTTCTCGATGAAGGCGAACAGAGGCTGGCAGTAGACTTGGTAGGCGCCGACGAGGTGGATGACAATGGCGGCGTTGGCGATGTCGAGAAGCCAGAAAGGGTTGTAGAAGCCGAAGCCGGTGAGTAGGTTTCCGGGAGCTGAGTCGCCGAAGGCGGCGTAGCCAAGGCAACCGCAGAGCAAATAGAAAACTGTCGTTACTGCGACGCTTAAAAGAGTCGCCTTTTTCATTACCTTTGCTTCGGATGGGGGCGGGGACTTAATTGTATCCTGAAGCAGAAGAAAGGTTTTAGGGAAAAAAGAAAAAAAGCTGAAGTTCAAGTTTTGATTGATTGATTTAAAAGATTGATACCTGGATTTCGATGAGAATCATGGAGTAGGAATAAGCGAACGCAATGTCGCCGAAAGCTTGCAGGCTGCGCCAAATCTTCTGGGTTTCGGTGACTGCACCGATGCTGATTCCAGTCAAGCTCCCCTTGATTCCGCCATTTGCTGTTTGGAAAAGAAATGGAGAGTCTTTAGCATGGGAATTTCATAACTGGTTTTCTGTTGAAGAGATAAATTAAGAGTAAATTACCAACAACTTGAACTATGCCGAGGGCAAGGCCGATGCAGGAGTAAGTGAAAGACATGACGGCGGCGACAATGGAGAGCCACCAAATTTGGTCAAAGTCAGGAATTTGTGAGAAAATGATTTCTATAACTCCGAAGATGATCATATAAGGGTTGCTAGAGATGTGACAGGGGCTATTTTGACCTTTCTGATGAAAACAATTCGATCTCCGAATTGCCCTGTTGAAAATTTCAAAGCATTTTATTATTTTACCGTTCTTAATTTCCACCTAATTTAACAGAGGAAGAAGGAGAAACCTACGTCATGCTAATTGAGGAAGCAATGGTGTAGCCAATGGCCACGCCGAAGAGATTCGCGTACTGAATAAAACCACATATGTTAACCTTCAACCCACCTGAGAGAACAAGCATGGGTTAGTTTAAAATCTTTATATTTTACAGTAAACATTTGATCTTGTGGAAATATCATGAGAGAACAATCATAGATTGATATAAAATTGAGAAATCTTGTAGTAAGAATTTGATTTTGCTGAAGAACATTTACAGAACAAGCAAGAGCTAGTTAAAAATCAGTAGATTTCGCAGTAAAAATTGATCTTGCTGAAGAACCGACCAAGGTAAGCCGTGACAGCATCGGTGTAGGTGTAGTTACGCTTGCCGGAGATGGGATCGCCGGAGCGATAGCAGTCGGAGAGTAGAGAAGAAGTGTAATATATGACGAAAGAGAAGAGGATCATGACGACCGGGCCGGCGACCCACCCGAGCTGGGCGATGGCCCAGGCCAGAGAAAGCACACCGGAGCCTATCACTGCGGTGATTATGTGAGCACTCGCCGTCCACATCGTTCCTTTTCGCTTTAAGCGGCCGTCGTCATCGAAGCTTTCGAAGCATTCGTTTTCATTCTGGCTAAGCTCTATGGAGACTTCCATGGGAGTGAACACAGCTTGAGAGTAGTACTTAACAGCATTGTTTTCGGTCATTTTATCGAATAGAAACAAACAGTGAGCGATAGTAGGGAACGAGAAGGAAGCGAGTGAGCTGAGAAGAAGTGGGACGATGAAGTGTGGATGAGGGAAGTTGCAATATATAGAGAGAGATGACGCGTCTCAACCTCAGTATCTGCTGTCAAATCCCATCTCTACTTTCTCACGGCCGCATTTGCTGGTAAATCTTCTTGGCGTAATCAGTTTCATTCCCCTCCTCTCTCTCTCTCTCCCTCTACCTCTCCCTCTCCCTCTGTACCTCATCATTTTAATACCATGAAGCCTACATTCCTACCGAGTGCCCACCACTAGCGAGCATAAAAAAGCCAAGAAGTAGGAGAAATAGTCCTTCTGTGTGTTATGCGGTACTGCTAAAGTAAAAAAAAAACCGGTCACCAATATTTGTCAAGAATTTCAGAGTGGAGTGAAGGAGAGATTATTTTTTGCATGTTCGGGTGTCCGGGAATTAATCCGGACGTATCATGTCATCCAATACACATTGGATGACATGGTTTATCCGAATTGACTTCCGGACATGTCCGGACACCACACAAAATAATTTTTCGCAGTGAAGACGGTAGCTCGGAACTCTTGGAATGGATTAGGAGATAGAGTTTATTTGAGATGCGAGTGAATATAATTTTGACTTGAGTAACCTCCAGTCACAAAGAGGAATTCAATGGAGGAAAAATTTATAGAAGATTGTACGGTTTGGCACAATAAATATGTTACCATGCAAGTAAATTTACAGAATTTTACTTTTCCCGCCAATTATGTATGATAGGATTGCAAAGTGTATCACTTTAGCTTGACCTCTTGTGATTACAGTAAATAATGTTTAAGAAATAGTGAAGGGTGATGGCATTGATCGGGTGATGTCATTGTGATTTAACAATGAGAATCGGGTAAAAAAAAAAAAACAAAAACAAAACAATGAGAATCGTGTACTGATGGAGAAGTTACGACAATAAGGTGATGGCAAGATGATGGTGATCGAGTGATGGTAAAATAGCTATGACAATCAAGGAATAGTTGTTGAGGAATGATAGTGATGATTGTTAGGCTATGATGGTGAACATTAATATTGATTGTCGAACAAGAATATGAGTCTTTCATATCTTCAAACTCTTCTTAATTCCAAAATCTTTTCATGTGAAGAATAATTGTCCATTTATAATCTTATAGAGTGACATTTTGGTAATTTTAAATAAAATTCTCAAACAATTTATTGAATGGTTCATGTTGATTAACTCCATCATAGTTCATTCATTTGGCAATTAAGTTCTTTAATGATATCAGAGTTGGGTGATTATAAATTTGGTTGATTTTTCTCATCAATAAGCTCATCTTAATTGTGACTACCCAAATTGAACGATCATTCCTTTAAATAGTTTCGAGACGTTTATAGCTACTCTTCAATAACCTAATTTGGGCTCATTTGATTTTGGATAAGAAAATTCTAAGTGTTGAGCCTCCTCTAGCTGATGCGCTTGTGGCTGTACGTGGAGAAGGATTAATGTCTTGTCAACAAGGTGTTGCTGGATGAATCATCTAATGAAACTAATGTTGCTTCTCGCTTGCTTACATATGAGTCTACTCTGTCAATTGTTCATATGCAACCAAATGGAGAACCTTTTATTGATGTTTCGATCTCCCTTATCTCCAATGATGAATTGAAAGTTCATATGAGGGTAAACTTGAGGGGTAGTTGTTTGAACCAAATGAATTGGTTGGAAGAGGCTGCTTCCTCGCTTGGCGATGTTCGTGGTGAACTTGGGGCTGATTTTCATGATATGTTTGCTTTGGAGGTTGGTCATTCTATTGCTAAAGGTTTCTCGCAAGGGAAGGACAAACATGGTAGGAAGAAATCCAATAGGTAGTAATATTTGTGAGGAGTCTTTGTCTCTATTGTTGTGGATTTTATTGTTTGGGTTGGTTGCATATGGGTTTTATTTGGGGGTTGGTGGATTGGGTTTCCTTGGGTTAGGCTCCTGTTAGGGCTCTGAGGTCTTGGTTGTATCTGGTGTCTCTTTCTTTACTGGTGGTGGTTTTGTTTTTTGTGCTACTTCTTTGGTTTGTTTTTTTAGACAATTATGAGGCTGCATTTGGCTTTCACCTAGTTGGTTGTGGCTTGTTGGCAACCTTGGTGGCTCCTTTTGAGTGGTCGTTAGTGGCTTGCGGGTTGATGTTTTTTTCCTTTTAGGTTTTCTTCTGGTTGATAGGTGGTCTTCAGCCATTTGTGGGTTGGCATGTGGTCTGCTACCTCCAATGGATGACTCTTGCCTAGTTGATAGAGGGTTGCTGAATGTAGCCATTTCCTGAGTCCGAAGGCTTGGTTCGTCATTTTCACTTGTTTTTTGTTCTTTATCTGTCTTGTGTTATCTTGTCTTAGTCTGTCATTGTACTTTTCCATTTATTGAATAAAATTTTATTTTCCCCCCCCCCCCAACCCCAAAAAAAAAGAAAAAAAGAAAAAAGAAAATTCTAAGTGTTATTGGACCCGAAGTTAAGTTTCTTAAAATTGAAGTTCTTATATTTTTGAATTTAGTTTAACTAGTTTTTAATTCAAATATTACATCAAGATTTTTTGTTAATCATATGAATTTTCTGATAATGTATTATTTACCTCTATTTTCAAATATCAAAATCCATATTGCATGTAAATTAAAAATTTTAGTCATACAAATTTGTGGCACAAAATTAGAATTAAAAAAAAAAAAAAGATTATGGGGTATGACTCACTAGACATTAACATAGACCTCTCATGAGGGTGTAAACAAAGTATATTTTTCTTAATCATAATTTATATTTCATTGAATTGGCCTATTAATTAGACAAAAATTCTTGAAAAATTGGTTCCATATCTATAAAAAAATTTTGAAAATTTTTGTGAATATATTCAAATATTACATCAAGATTTATGTTTAATCATATTAATTTTTTGATGATGTATTATTTGCCACTATTTCCAAATATTAAGATCTATATCATTTGATAATAAAAATTTTTGTCATAAAAGTTTGTGGCAAATAATTACAATTAAAAAAAAAAGATTATGATAAGGTGTGACTCATTAGACATTAACATAGACTTCTCATCAGGATCGAAAATCAAGTACATTTTCTTAAGGCTGTGTAAAATTATTCTATCAATTATACACAAGCGAGTGAGATATTTTGCTCTGCTAGGGTTTTGAGAGTACCCTAGCGTTGTTCCTCCCGCCGCCGCCCTGCCGGGGCTCATCCCCCATGGTCGGCTTCCCGCCTCTTGTCTCCACCACTCCAACGCTCCATACATCATCTTCTACACTGGATTGGAAAAATCTCCTAGCCACCACTCCTCAAGTTTCTACAACCTTTTCGCATTAGCTCTCCTTCGTCCCAGCCCAAAATTTTACAGCTAGTTTTACAACTGAACAGTTTACTACTGGAGCTTCAGAATGGTCGCTGTCTCTCGTCGGGTACTCCATTGGTAAGCGACCATTCTACGAGGCGTTGCTGGCGACAATAAAAAAAGCGTGGAACCTCAAAGGAGCTTTCTCCCTCCTCACCATGGACGACGGTTTCTTTCTCCTGAAGTTTACGGCCTTAGAAGACTATGAGCTGGCGTGGACCGGAGGACCATGGTTCTTCTTCGGAAAACCCTTCATCCTCCAAAAGTGGTCTCCTGATTTCATTCCAAAGAGGGAAGAGTTCCCGTCGATTCCACTGTGGATCAAAATCATGAACCTGCCGCTATCTCTCTGGACCTCGAAAGGTATTTCTAAACTCGCAAGCTGTGTAGGTATTCCCCCTGCAGTCGATGCTCTCACTGCCACAAAAACTAGACTAACGTTCGCTAGAATTTGTGTGCAAATCACCAGTTCCTCTCCTCTCCCTGATGAAATATTCTATTCTGTTGATGGAAAATCATTCCCCCTGCGTGTGCAATATGACTGGAAGCCAGAGCACTGCTCACAATGCGACTCCATTATGCATCCCTTGACCTTGTGTCCCAAGGACCCAATCATCCGACCTCCAACTGTTCCTAAGCCTAGAGGAAGAAGCACTAGCCGCAAGCCTCGTGCTACACCGCCTCCTCGACTAACAATCCCAAAGCCAGCTCTTTTACCAAAACCTGATATTTAAATTTATTCTAAAAGGTAGATCTTTAGTTACCTCTAAGAGATATGTATGCTACATTTTGTTCAGACATAACTTCTAGAAAATCCATGAGAAGAGGAGTTCAATCTTTTTAGGTTAGTAGCACTAATGTCCTTGGTGAATCAGATGTTTAATCTCTTATATTAATTATATGAAGAAATCTTTCTGTTGGATATCATTTTAACTCATGAAAATTATATAATTGGGATTGATTTTCACTATTTATATTTTTGAGTGACTTAGTATTACAAATCTCCATGACAACGTTAGCCATAAACATGTTTAATATGATGTAACCAAGTGACTTATACTCTGTCAAACATTGAGTTTAATGGAAAGAACGTCTTTGGTCACTTGATTGGTTTGCTTTTTTCAATAGGAAAGGATCCATGGAGCACTACCAAAAAATGGGGCTACTGCAGCACTATTTTGGGCCTATCCCAGCGGTTTTAACCTCTACTATTTTTCTTGCAACGGTTCTAAACCGCTACATATCCGTTGTAATTGCAATACGCTGCAATGACATTCCGTAGCGTTTAAGAACCGGCGGGGTAGAAATGCTGACTATAGCAGCGGTTATAACCGCTGCAAATCTCCAGAGTAATGCAATGACATTCTATTACCGCTGCTACCAGTTGACGCTAAAAAGACAACTTTTTAGTACTGGAGGCACCTTATCATTTTAATTTCATTTGGAGGGTGGAGTTGTCAAACACTTCATCATGGATTTGAAAGCACCTATTTTGCAAAAAAAAAAAGTCACATTCAAATGATGGATCATCTAACTCTATTTTCAACTTTCTTGCAACTAACTATTCACCAACTTTCCAAAATTTGCTAAACAAATTTTTAAAATTATAATTTTAATATTTTAAATTCTAATTTAAAATATAAAATTAAAAATTTTAAAAAAAATTCTTGAACTTTAATACTTTGCATCAAAATATTTCAAAAGCATAAGACATTTATATATTATCAAAATGATAAGATGCTCATACAACATTTCTTATTTATGTAAACACATAACATAATTTTTAATATCATAAAACACCCTTAGATATCTTTTTTTATAAATAAAATAAAATA